ATAATGACCATTCAACCACAGATAATCACCGCATTGTGTAGAATAAGTGGTTTATCTACCTGCAGGTACTTGCTTTCTCTCTCTCTTTCCTCTCTCTTAGCCTCTCCCTCCACCTCTACTGCTCTGATTTTCTCCTTTCTCTAAGAAGAAAATTTTGCCTATAAGCTTTTTGACTTGGAAAATCTAGGTGCATATTAAAAAGCAGAGATATCACTTTGCCAATAAAGGTCCATATAGTCAAAGCTATGGTTTTTCCAATAGTCATGTACAGATGTGAGAGTTGGACCATAAAGAAAGCTGAGCACTGAAGAATTGATGCTTTTGAACCATGGTGTTGGAGAAGACTCTTGAGAGTCCCTTGGATTGCAAGGAGATCAAACCAGTCAATTCTAAAGGAAATCAACCCTGAATATTCATTGGAAGGACTGAAGCTGAAGCTCTAATACTTTGGCCACCTGATGTGAAGAGCTAACTCATTGGAAAAGACCCTGATGCTGAGAAAAGTTGAAGGTAGAAGAAGCAGGTGGCGGAGGATGAGATGGTTAAATAGCATCACTGACTCAATCATCACTGACTCAATGGACATGAATCTGGGCAAATTTCGGGACATAGCAGAGGACACAGGAGCCTGGCATGCGACCTCTATGGGGTCACAAAGAGCTGAACATGACTGAGCAACTGAACAACAGAAAACAGCATGACCTGTGTGTGACAGCTCTTCTGACCCTTTGGGTCTCCATCAAGGATGAACGTTCTTTCTTCCCCTTGACCTAAAGGGTGTATGAATGAATGGTGGGGCTATTCTGAGGAATCAACAGGCTGCCTGCGGAAGTGTGTGGCCCGTGAGTCAGAAGCACTGTGCTCGCCTCTCGATTTCACCACCCTTCTCACCGGCACCCTATTTGGTTTTCAATGCAACACTTGTCTCTGTCCTTCAACATTCCAAAAACCTTCATTCTCCCCTGAGGTCAGCAATATATTTAAAGCGCATGCTTTCATCTTGCTCCCATCAGTAAGATTTAACTTAACGTAAGACACTCAGAATGGAAATTCCATGCACTTTTCTTCTGGGAAACCAGCTGCTTGCATATTCCAGGTCCAAACCCCTTGCCTCACATTTCTGGTAAAATTCAAAAGTTTACGATTTTACTAAAACAGAGTCCCATCTTAGGCAACGAAGCATATCTCTTCTTCTTTAAAGAGAGGGCTTGGGGCCTGTTCTTCTCTGGTGTGTTTGCTTAGAACTTTCACACTTTTTTTAAAATTGCAAATTCTTTAAAGTGGGTATATACAGAAAACAGGCAGGCAGGGTCTCAATAAATTCAAATAGCTCAACAGTGCCCCCTGGTGGCCATGAGCACAGATTACAGGGTGTGTGAGTTCCCAGGCTGAGTTTCTTGTATAAAACAAGGTATAAATGAGTCTCAAGATGAAACTCTCTCTCCCAAATCAAAACATATGAAATGCTGATATGAATCAGCAATGCAAAGCATCCAAACAGGATAAGGACCAAAGAGTAGGAGACTGAATAGCGATTCATCTTGATAAATCACCATGGGAAGAAATACCCAAATTGAACATTTCCTTCCAACTCACCAGCTGGTGAATTCTTTTTTGGTCTAAAGCTTTTATTAACTAACCAGGCATTTTCTCAATGCCAATACCACCCGCTGGCCATTTTGAGATTAGTCTTCATATGCATTCATTACAAAAATATTTCTTTGCTATGCTATCATTGTCTTTACGTGGGCTAGCACGATCCTTATGTGTTGGGGATTCAAGGCAGAACACACAGACAAAAATCTCTGCCATCAGAGTGCTCCTATTTTAGTAGGGGAAAGAAAACAAACAAGTAAAATTCAAAATACAAGTTCTGAAATGAGTTCTGTGAAGAAATTCAAATAGAGAAAATGGATAGAGAGTGATGGGGTGGTGATGGGGAGGTGATTTTTGAAAGGGTGAATTTGAGCAGAAACCTGAGTGATAAGGCTTCCCTGGTGGCTCAAGGGTAAAGAATCTGCCCGCAATGCAGGAGATGTGGGTTTGATCCCTGGGCCAGGAAGATCCCCTGGAGAAAGGAAATGGCCACCAGCTCCAGTATTCTAGCCTGGGACATCCCATGGTCAGGAGCCTGGTGGGCTGCAGTCCATGGGGTCGCAAAAGAATCGAAAATGACTTAGCGACTACACAACAATGACAACAAGTGGAGAGAGTATCCAAGGTGAGTGCGCACCTGATGGAAAGACCTGGATGCAAGAACAAGTCTGACCCGTTTAAGAAATAGCAAGGAAGTTAGGGAGGCAGCTGATGCTTAGTGAGAGAGAGAAAGGGCAGAGGGAGATGAGCTCAGTGAGGTAGGCAAGGGCCAGACTACATGTTCCAGGGTCAGGCACATGGATTCTATTCCAACACTAACGCAAACTCATCCAGCAGTTTTGAGCTGGGTATGACATGTTCTTATGTGAATGTTTTTCTTTTTTTATTAATTTTTTTATTGGAATATAGTAGATTTACAATGTTGTGTTAGTTTCAAATGTACAGCAAAGTGAATAAGTTTTACATATACATATATCCACTCTTTTTTTAGATTCTTTTTCCAGACAGGTCATTAGAGTATTGAGTAGAGTTCTTTGTGCTATACAATAGGTCCTTATTTGTTATCTATTTTATATATAGTTGTGAAAGTGAAAGTTGCTCAGTCATGTCCGACTCTTTGCAACCCCATGGACTATACAATCCATGGAATTCTTCAGGCCAGAATACTGGAGTGGGTAGCCTTTCCCTTCTCCAGGGGATCTTCCCAACCCAGGGATCGAACCCAGGTCTCCCACATTGCAGGCTGATTCTTTACCAGCTGAGCCACAAGGGAAGCCCAAGAATACTGGAGTGGGCAGCCTATCCCTTCTTCAGCAGATCTTTCCAACCCAGAGATCAAGCTGGGGTCTCCTGCATTGCAGGCAGATTCTTTACCCACAGAGCTATCGGGGAAGCCCTATATATGGTTGTGTGTATATGTCAACCCCAATTTCCCAATTTATCCTGCCCATCCTTTCTCCCCAGTAACTATAAGTTTGTTTTTTATATCTGTGACTCCATTTCTGTTTTGTAAATAAGTTCATTTGTAGCATTTTTTAGATTCCACATATAAGCAACATTACATATTTGTTTTTCTCTGTCTGATTTACTTCATTCAGTATGACACTTTGCATGATCTTATTAAATTTTTTTTATTTCAATTTTTTAAATTTTTTTAATGTTTTGGCTGCACTGTGCAACATGTGGGATTTTAGCTCCCAGGGATCAAATCCATGTCCCCTACATTGGAAGTGTGACATCTTAACCACTGGACTTAACCACTTAATCCCTTGAGTGATCTTTTTAAAGCTCTGGTGAAGATGAAGACAGCAGCAGGTGACAGGCAACTGTGAAAGCAGGGAGAAGATTTAGAAGCTATTGCAGGAGTCCAAGCAAGAAATTGCTGGCTTGGATTAAGTTGCTAGTTGTAAAGGCAAAGAGGGTAGAAGTGGTTGGATTCATAATGTTTATTTCAGAAACAAGCCAGCTTGTTAGGGACTAGAAACTGGTGGGAGAAGCAGAATCAATTAGAATTAGTTTATGGCTTGAGCAGTCAGTGAATAGGAATGCCAATAACTGAGACAGAGAAGCCTGGGTGGAAAACAGATTTGTAGGGTAAAGACAGAGATCAGAAATCAAAAGTTCTATTGGTCTTGCTTATTAAATGTTCAAATAGGATATCGGAGACAGGAAGATAAATGGAGCTCAGAGGAGAGAACGTGACTAGGACACATATTTGGGGACTGTCAAAATACAGGTATTGTTTGTAGCCATGAGACCGGTAGAGATCACCGAAGCAGAAAGGGTAATGAAGTAAAAGGATGAGAAGGCAGAGGGCAGAGCAACATTAAAGTCGATGGAACTGGTGAAAAAGACTGGGAAAGAGCAGCTGGCAAGGCAGCAGGATCCAAGAGCCAAGAGAAAAGGTGTTTCAAGGAGGGGATGCCAAATGCTGTACAGAAAATCAGATAAGAATAAAATTGGCTGGTGGATTTGGCAAGATAGAGACACTCCCAGTAAAGCATTGAGAACAAATGCCTCTGGACTGGAAACAGTTAAAGTTAGAAGAGGAGGTAAGGATGTGGCGCCTCCACAACATTCTTCCAAGGAGTTTCTTTGTAAACAGGGGCTGAGAAAAGACAGCTGCTGCAGGGAATATGGGATCCAAAGAAGTGTGTCTGTCTTTGTTTTCATTTAAAAAGGAGATATGACAACATACCAGTGCAGTGGTGGGACTCATTATTTACTAGGGCAACAGATGAGGCAAGAAGGGATGGCAGGATTAAGGGAAGATTGAGAGTAGGGACCAAGAAAGAAGATAAAATACAGGTTCTGCCTGCAGGCAGCCCTGGGAGAATTGGGGAGTAGAAAGTCCTCACCTGACTACTTCTAATTTATCAGGGAAATAAGACACAAGAAACTAATACTCTGATAATTAGCTCAGAGTGTGTGTGTTGGGGGGCTGGAGGACACCATCACAGATTTGAGGAGAGATGAGAAAATGAGTGGAAAGTGATTTTCTAGGGTACTAGAGTGGGACTGCCAGTCATTCTCCCTGAGAGGGTAACCTACTCTTAAGGTATTTGTAACAGAATGAAAAATATGTGAGAAAAAAACAATCATAGGACAAATTCTTCTTAGGGATGAAATAGTTCAAATATCCAGAAGGAATGTAACCAACACTCATGGACACACTACCCAGATTTACTCAATGCTGCTGTTTTGTTTCAGATTTATTTTTAAGAAATAAAACATTACAGTTTCAGGGAAGTCCTTTGAGAACTTCTCTCCAATCTCATATCCTTCTTCCTCTTTCTCTTGAAGTTCGTCATATAATGATAAAAAGTAATAGTGTGCCTCTTTGTTTGAGCCTACACAGCTCTGTGGTGATTGCGTTCATGCAAATGCTGTTATTCAAGATTTACCTGTTATCTGGGTTGTTAGGGAGATGACCACAGGAAGTTCAGAAGACAAAGCCTGGATGCTGACACTGTAGTTGGTACCTGGACTCAGGTCCAAACACGTCTCAGGAGTCTGACTGCTGGCAGTGATATTAAAGATCATTTCCTGGGCAAATCCTTTTTGATACCATCTCTGGCCCCAAATGTGGACCTGAAACAGAAAAGTTCACCAGGTAAATTACTAGCTTGAAAGGTTGAATGCCTGGATACTTAACTTTTTCTCATGAGCACTCTTGCTCTCCATTCTAAAGTTCCTCTAAAAAGTGAAATACATTATGTGGTGTCCTGGATGGGAGGAGGGTTTGAGAGAGGACGGATATATGTATATGAATGGCTGAGTCCCTTCACCGTTCACCGGAAACCACCAGAACATTGTCAATCAGCTATACCCCAATACAAAATAAAAAGTTTAAAGCTTGAGAAAACAAATATGAAATACAAGTAGAGCTGTAATACTATAAATATTTGGGAAGTCCATAATTACAATATCATCAGTAAAGTAAATATTTTTTTAAATTAAAATGCACAACATGCCCTGAAACTGACAAGTTTCGCCTTTTTTGTTCCCACACACATAACGGCACATGCTCAGTGAGAAAGCCTGTTGGCAAAACTGCAGAAGCAAGGCCAGAGAACAATTTCCTAAGAAAAAAAAAGTTAAGACTCTGAACTAAGGCTTCTCCAGAGCAGGGTGTGCGTTAGGATACTCCTAGCTGGTCTGGTAAGACCTGGGAAGGGTTTTTTTCCTCTGCTCACTGCCTTCTGACATTCCCCAACATCTGGGCCAATAGATGCACTTTTCTTTCTACTTAATTTCTTCTAGCAGCAGCTCATCCCATGGTCTATGCCTTTGTTACAAACAGATTTAGCTTTAAAAGTTCCCCTTGACTCTCTAGGCAACACATTCAGGCCCTTATCAGAGGCACTGGTGTGAACAGACACACACCCATGAAAAGTCACTGGCTTCCTTCCGTGGATACTACCTGAACTTTGGCTCTGTATCAGGCTATGTTACATGGAGAAATTCTCATGTCTTTCTCATCAATCCCCAAAGTCTTCTAACTTCAAATATGCAGCAGAAATGCCCACTTTCTCGCCTCTTCTTCTTTTTTTCTATTTTTAGAATTGCGCTGTTTTTATTTTTTTTTTTAATTTTTATTGGAGCATAGTTAATTTACAATGTTGTGTTAGTTTCAGATGCACAGCAAAATGAATAAGTTATACATATACATATATCCACTTTTTTAAGATTCTTTTTCATACAGGTCATTAGAGAGTATTGAGTAGAGTTCCCTGTGTTGTACCCCAGGCTTTTACTAGTTATCTGTTTTATATATGGTAGTATGTATGTGCCGGAGAAGGCAATGGCACCCCACTCCAGTACTCTTGCCTGGAAAATCCCACGGATGGAGGAGCCTGGTAGGCTGCGGTCCATGGGGTCGCTAAGAGTCAGACACGACTGAGTGACTTAGCAGCTGCAGCATGTATGTGCCAGTCCCTGGGTCTCCCAGGTGGCACTGGAGGTAAAGAACCTGCCTGCCAATTCAGGAGCCGTAAGAGATGTGGCTTCAATCCCTGGGTCGGGAAGACCCCCTGGCAGAGGGCATGGCAACCCATTTCAGCATTCTTGCCTGGAGAATCCCATGGACAGAGGAGCCTGGTGGGCTACGGTCCATGGGGTCCCACAGAGTCAGACACGACTGCAGCGACTTAGCATGCTCACACGCATGTCAGTCCCAGTCTCCCAATTTATCCCTCCCTCTCTTATCCCCAACTTCTAGTTCGTGTGTACCCTTTTTTCAAACTGGAGGATAATTGCCTTACAACGTCGTGGTGGTTTCTGCCATACAACAACGTGAATCGGCCGTAAGTATACACATGTCTCCTCCGTCTTGAAGCTGTCTCCCACCACCACACCATCCTACCCATCAAGGTTGTCACAGAACACTGGTTGAGCCTTCTTTATTATACAGCAACTTCCCAGTAGCTATCTATTTTATATGTGCTAACGTATATGTTTCAACACTACCCTCTCAATTCAGTCCATCCTCTCCTTCCCCTGCTATATCCACAAGGCTGTTCCTATGTCTGATAGGCATTAGTACCTGCAAATAGGCATTAGTACCTTTTTTTTTTTAGATTCCACACATAAATGATATCATATGATATCTGTCTTTCTCTGTCTGACTTATTCACTCAGTATGACAATCTTTGGACCCATCCATGTTGATGCAAATAGCATTAGTTTGTTTCTTTAATGGCTGAATAATAGTCCATTGTATATTTGTACCACATCTTTACCTACTCCTCTGTTGATGGACATTTAGGTTGCTGCCATGCCCCGGCTACTGTAAATAGTGCTACAATGAACATTAGGGTGCGTATATCTTTTTGAATTATGATTTTCTCCGGGTATTTTCTCAGCAGTGGGATTCCTGGCTCATATGCTTCTTGCTTCTTATTGCAATTGTCAGTATAAATCTTTCATTGATTATGGAAGCTATCTAAGTAGTTTGGTTGGTTGGTTGGTTAGTTGGTTTGTTGATATTTTTTGAACCTCCCACATAAGACAAACACCTAAAAAAAGATTGAGTTTCAGTAACTTACTAAATACATCTCCTCTATATCAGCTGTCTTCATACTTCTCCATCTCAAGCAGGTTTCATTAAATATTGAAATGTTACTGATGGTTTGTTTTACTGCAAGAGGAAAAGAATGAGAAGTCAACTTACACCTTATACCAAAATACTACTTTCTAATTGAACAATCTTCCAAAGATAAGCATTTACAATTTACAAAAGGATGACTTCTGCAGTATTTCAATTTAGAAATTAGTGGTAGCAGTCCAAGAAACTCCACTTTTATATTCCTGTAAACTCAGTCCTGATGAAAGATTCACAATCAAAAGATACCCAATCAGAGGAGCCTTCTTAAAAATTATTTAAGTCTATTCACTGCAAATTCCCTTGGTTTCCTAAGCTAAAACTCATTGTCCTTGCTTTGAATAAACCTCATTTAGACAAAAAGGCACCAGTTTGAAATTCTGAACTGAGAGCAACGTTTCAGCAGAGATTTGAGAACTTCTCCCTGAGGAAATAAAAAAGGCCACCTCAAACACTCAGGCTTTTCATGATGGAAAGTGGGGAATGGCCTCTCTTGGTTTGGGCTTCCTCATCTTTTATTACCAAAGAACCACTTGTTGGTCTCTGCTCAGTGTCACAGTAATCAATCCAAAAGATAGTTCAGATCTGGTACTGTGTAATATAGAAGCACATTCTTCAGGCTTTTAAAATAAAGATTGTGAAAGTGTTAATCGATCAGTCATGTCCAGTTCTCTGTGATTCCATGGACTGTAGCCCACCAGGCTCCTCTGTTCATGGGATTCTCCAGGCAAGAATACTAGAGTGGGTAACCATTCCCTTCTCCAGGGGATCTTCCCGACCCAGGGATCGGACCTGGGTCTCCTGCATTGCAGGCACACTCTACTGCCTTAGTCACCAGGGAAGCCCCAAATAAAGACCAGTTATTCAAATCTCTGGTATCAGAGGTTACTTCCTTCAAAGATGATCCCTGTTCCTAAACCGAAAATAATATATCAGACTTGCTAAGTAGTTTCATAGGAATACTGTGATGATTAATAAGTGATAGAGACAACTCCCAAAGCACCTGAAAAAAAAGAAAATCTCAAGACAGCCAACCCTATTGTGTAAGCCCCTTGACCAACAGGTTCCTTTGAAAGAAGCCAAGCCGATGGACGTGACGCTTTTTTATGGATTGGGCAGCTTTGCCCAAAGAAAACCTGTTCCACAGGTCACAAGCTTTACTTCAAATGTTGTAAGACGGAGTAGGGAAGAAAGTATAGGTGATTTAGGATAAGGCAATCTTGCTACTAGGTATGGAAGATGGTGTTAGAGATAAATAGTAGTGGTTCAAGGAATCTCACACTTCTTAAATTTTAAAAACATATATAATTTTAATAGTATTTAAACAGTTCCAGATCATACAAAAAGGTAACAAGTTTCCAATTCATTCAGCATGACTGGATAATCGACAACGCCCAAGCTGTACAAGATGGCACAACCAATAACTAAACATGCTATGCCAAACTCACTTATAAATAAATACAAAATACAAAATAAAATAATAGCAAATAGAAGTCAGCAATACATTCAAAGAATAATATACTAGAAACAAGGGAGATTTACTCCAGGAATACAGAGATGATCATTATTGGGAAAGATATTAATCTATTAAAAGAGAAAAACCATATGGTCACTTTTATAATCATAATGGTTAATATATTTAATGTACATTCCTTTCTAGAAATCGTCATAAACTAGGATTTAATTTGATAGAAACTCACTGATTTAACAGAGTGTTTATTAGAAACCACCATACTTAGTGGTAAAACAATGAAGCAATTTCTAGTAAAGTTAAGAACAATCCAAGGATGCATGGCCTGACAGCTGCTATTTAGCCCTGTTGTTGTTTAGCCCCTGAGTCAGGTCCGACTCTTTTGCAGCCTTGCCAGGCTCCTCTATACTCAGGAGATTCTAGACAATGCAAACCTAGGCAATGAAAAGAAGAGCTATAAGTGCCAGAAAAAAAGGGATCAAATTATGCCACTGCTAGTGAATCGAAAAGAATCAACTAAAAAACAAATATACAACTGTTTGAAAACAATAGAAAAACAAATAATAGGAATTTGGCAAAGAGCACCCACAGGTAAGAACATAGGAAAACTAACAGTTTTCTGCATATCTGCAAGAACAAGTATGGTGGGCTGAATGATGGTCCCTCCAAAGATGTCCACATCCTAGTTCTAGAGTCTGTATCATGTTACCTTAATGGCATAAAGACTTTGCAAATGTAGTTACAGTGTGGAAGATCATCCTGGATTATCCAGATAGACTCAATGCAGTGACAACGGTTCTTAAAAGAAGGAGACAAGATCAGGGCCAGAGAGAAATTTAAGGTTAAACTGAGGGGCTTTAAAGATTGAGGATGGGACCACAAGCCAAGGAATATAGGCAGGCTCTAAAAACCAGAAAGGGCAGGGATATGGATTCTCCCTTTAAGCCCCCAGGATGAACACAGGCCTGCTGACACAAGTAAACTAAAACCACAAATTAGACAGAGAAATTAAAAGATCTCTATTCACAAGAGAAGAAACTATGAACAAACTTCAAATACCTAGAAATAAATCTAACTAGAAATGTCCAAGACTTGCACTGTGGCAGGAAAAATCAAAATAATACTTTTCTTAAACAGACATGAGACTTTTCTGATAAACAAGGAAAATAAGGAAACAGTGAACAAGCTGGGGAAACAGCATAAACAAGCCTAAGAGGTAAGAAATCTTGATTATTCTTTAGCTGTTCTACAAACACTTGTAGTTAGATTTGTCCTTTACAAAGCTAAACAAAACTAATTACTCTCTGACTCCTTATAAACTATACTCTGCACCTGGCATTATTCTCTTGTAGCATTCTACATTTCAAAAAGGTCACAGGTCAATAACTTCAGAGACACCAGACCTGGTTCCTGTAGCCATTTTGAAATTTTACCAAAAAAAAAACAAAAAAATCAATAAGAAAAAAAAATTTCCCCCCCCACCCAAAAAGCACCCCACAGCTCTTGAAGCACTAGCCTACTGTGTTACCCCTTTGCCTGGCAAAGAATAAATCTACTTGTTTATTTTCTCCAAACTCTGTCTCCATTATTTCTATTTGGCATCAGTTGCACAGGGAGTCAAGATTTTGGCAACAACATGAAGATTTTTTTTCTCTGAAGGACATGAAAGAAAACAATAAAGAGAAAAACGCCACATCCTTGAATGGGAAGATAGGAAAGTGCAGATACCAATTCTCCACCAAGTAATCTACAAGTGGAATGTACTTCCAAAGGTGATTCCAATGGTCCTTCTTGGAATAAGTTTACTCATTCATTCAGTAAATATTTAGAAAGTTTTCACCATGTGCCAGGCATGCTTTGGAGCAGGATAAAGTGGTGAGAAAATGATGTCCCTGCACCTAATGGAATTCATTCTAGTGAGAAAGGCAGAAAATATACAAGTGAAAAAATAAATCTTAAAATATAATCTTGGGACTTCCATGGTGGTCCAGTGGCTAAGACTGCGCTTCCAAGGCAGGGGGCCTAGGTTCAATCCCTGGGAAGGGAACTAGATCCTGCATGCCACAAATAACTGTAATGTTACAGTAATGGTAGGTCCACAATTCCTTCTGTTCACAGGAAACATCTCACTGGTTAAATTTAGGTCCATGTTGGTCAGAGAGTGGCTCTCTCTAGATTCCCTTCTTTCCATCTAAGGAGCTCACAGTTTGAACTAAAGGTAGCCTGAACCCCTGCTGAGCTCACTTGGAGTGGAAAAGGATCCCCAGTAGAAGACAGCTCATTCTGAGTCCTTTCCTACCCCACTCTCTGATCCTTTGCTATATTAAATAGTATACACGCCCTGACTCTCATTCAAATTGTCATTCTCTGCTTCATTTTCAGTGGTCACTCTGCCTTCTCTCTCTCCTTTCCCCACCCACAGGGCCAATCTAAGCTAGAAGCCTAAAGCTGAAAAACCAGACCTGCAAGAATGACACAGAGAAGAAAAATTTTGGCTCTTAGTTCATGAGATTCTTAGAAATTATGCTTCAGCTTTGTTAATGCAGGCAAGCAACTCTGGGTAAAATCAGTCATTACTTTCTCAGGGCTCCCAGGGTCCCCTGCAACTTCAAACTACACTTTATGCATTATATTACTATGTATGTATAACTATGCATGTGTGTATTATGAAACACTATGTCTTAGAAGAGGGTGAGGGTTCCAGGCAGAAGAAATGGCAGGAGAGCAGAGATTTGAAGGCAGAAAGTTAGCACTTAAGAGTTTATTACAGGGCTTCCCTGGTGGCTCAGTGGGGAAGAATCTACGGGCCAATGCAGGAGACACTGGTTGGACCCCTGATCCAGGAATATCCCACTTGCCACAGAGCAACTAAGCCCGGATACCAGAACTCCCAAGCCTGTGCTCCGAAGCCCACAGACTCTAGGGCCCATGCTCCACAAGAGGAGCCTCCGCAACGAGGGGCCCGCGCCCTGCAAGGGAGAGTAGCCCCCGCTCGCCGCAACTGGGGGAAAGCCTGTGCAGAGACAGAGACCCAGCACGGCCAGAAATAAATTTTCAAAAAAAGAGTCCATTAAGATTAGCGTTCCAGTTACTTCATTGATAATGGTGGCCCCTTAAATTCAAATCTCTCCATACATTCTCCAAAATGTACTTCAGATCAACTGGAAAAGCAAACAAAACAACATAAAACCAAAGCTGTCATCACAACTGGAAGACAAAACTGCAAACTTTAAATCACCTTTTATGAAAAAATGAATAGCAAATCCCAGCAAAGCTATCTCTCAATTGCCCACACATCATTCTAGAGAGGGAGGGGGCTCTAGAAGAGACCTGTGAAAGAGAAGAGGGAAGCAAAGGGCCCAATCATGAGTCAGAGTCACTCCCAGAATGAGAAATTCCACCTTAAGGGTGAAAATGCTGAAAAAGAAACCTGGTATATCAGAGTACTAACTACAAGCAAAAGATGAAAAAAATCTATGAGACTTCAGGTCAAACCAGTCCATCCTAAAGGAAATCAACCCTGAATATTCACTGGAAGGACTGAAGCTGAAGCTCCAATGATTTG